ACATAAATTCTTTAAACTGGTTCCAGAGTTTTTTGGATCATCAGGACCACAAAATGCTAAAAGAATTGCAAACAAATGACGCAATGAAATAAACATTTGATAATTACAGGCTTCTTGTAAACATAGCTCACAATTATTATATCCTTTAAGTAAACTCCGCAATAATGCAACTTCACAAAATGTTTTTACTAAAATACCACTCACAAATTTAAGATTTTCAAAAGATATTGGTCCTCTAACATGATTTAACAATATTCGCAGGTAATATCTTTCTCCTTCTCTAGGATTTGCTGCTACAATTCTTCCAACCAAAGCAACATTTTTTTTCCTAGTAGTACAACACTTACCCTATACATCCCACACAAAATATTTAGGGAATTCTTAGTACAACAACTTTGTCGCTTGTTAATTAGTAATATTCATTGTAAAAAATTCAGTAAGCATTGTTTTTTGGAAGATATCACGTCCAATAACTCCTCTAAGATTATCAGTATCTTTGTACGTAATCAATTGCTTATTTGCTAGATGTAACTGTAATGAAATAACAGTTGGATTCATTTCATACATAGTGAATCCATAAATCTTCCAAGTTGCTTCTAGGGGAGAAATCCATCTACTAGACTGAAATATTTCTATTGCATCCATATCGTCAATTTTATTCATATCACATAAAGAGAAATTAACATTGTCATATCCTTTGTAAACATATTTGTATAAGCATTTAACAACTTTTATTGTTGAACAAATTTCTACATTCATTTGACAGTCATATTTAGCTAATAAATAAGGATTATAAGGTACAACCCATCTATTATCAAGAAAATGTTTTCTAACCTTAACTCTCTTACCATCATTTCGCCTTCTATATTTTGGATAAGAAGTTTCATCAAAAGAAGTATGTGAAGTGCAGCTATGTGGATAACGACTTCTACATTTTCCATCATTTTTCATACACACATTATTTGGATTTAAAATACCACAAGGACCATGCATCATGTGCTTGACAACAACGGAGTGTAAATAAGGATACTTTGTACTATCAGGAATTTCGGCACTTAGAATTTCATCTACCATTTCAGGAGAAATAATTTTTGAGCATGATTTCAATATAAGTAGAAAGTGAACCGTGTGGCAAACCTCTTTTTTGTATAAATCCTTTTTCAACTCTTCTAATTTCGATCTAAAGATGCGAGAGACCAAAATAGGTATATCCAGAACTTCATCACAAAAGTTTAACTCTTGCTTAATTTCCAACCAATTGGAAATTGCATGTAATTGTTAAAAAGATGTCAGGTTTTTCAAAATTTTGGACTAATGCCATCACATCCATGTATCTTTTGTTCAAATTTCCAGGACCACCAACGAAAAATGATGGCAAAATAATCCTTCAACCTACATTTGAACCGCTAGTTTCACCATTCTGTACACTATCAACATTACCTTGGTAAAGCTCAATACGTATTTGTGTTTGATTATTACGAAAGTAATCTAATCTAGAAGATTCAACTTTAACATACATGTCAACTACATATTGTTGCAAAAGGCGGCTAGCATGTAGCAATATAGAATTATCTAATGACCTTACATGTAGTTTATAACAGTAGTATCCACGGCAAGAGACCTGTAATCGTCTTTGCTTTTTGTGCAAAACTGAAAATATAGGGAAAAAAAATAAAAGTTAATAATACAGAAACTAAATCAAGAAAATAAAATCAAGAACCAATTTATTTTTCAAACCTATAGTCTCATTCTTCAGGACAACCAGCATAATAGGCATCAAGCATAATATTAACAGAAGAAACATCATGATTTCTATCTTGTTTATTTACTCTTTCAATACCTTGATGCCATCCGTTCTCTCCATTAGGGAACAACAAAGGGTATTGGAGAGCATCATAACATCCAAAATAATAATGCACTCTATGCTTACTACCAGAATGGGTATAAACACATATATCACGAACCCCATGATTAGATTGTTCATCATTCACACAAATCGCAGCAACTTGTGATACTGTCGGAGCATTATAAACTCTTTAATCCATACCTAAATTACATGCAATTTTTATCTCACTGCTTTCCAAATCAGTAACATTGGCTAAACCCCAAAAAAAATTTGCGTATAGATTTATCTCTAAAATGCGCACTAATTTTTCAACAATTGATTGAGAAAGCTTATCTAATATTTTTAAGCGATTTTCTATTTCATTTTTGGTATCATAAAAATAAAGTTGTAAATAAGAAGGGCTAAAATCCATAGGAAGAAGTTCATTTAGGTAATGATATATCTGTCCTTGAATTCTAAAAGTAAATATTCCTTTATTTCTTTGGTGCAAGTCTCTATCGTATTTTACACCAAATGAAGTAAAAGAAAAATCACAATTATAACTTCGAATATAAGTTCTAAAGTTAACTGATTCGTCAAATTTAGATGTAAATAGAAGATGCAATTCTGGAGGTATATAATTAATTTTTAGTTTAATACTTCGATCACAACAATAAAAACATTTACTTTCTTTATGAAATTTTTTCGCTCCACAGAAATCTCAAATTGTTGGCACGGATAACAAGTAACATTTGGTTGGAACGTGCTGTAAAATATTGGAAGTATATTCTAACATTTGGAAGTCTGGCAAAGCAGTAAAACCTAGTCAAAAAACAAACAAACTATAAATTTCAGTAGAATACAAAAATGCATTATACTAAAGCCAAAGCATAAGTCACATGTTTCTTGAGAATTATCAATACTCCCGTGTGACAAGCCACCTAAAACATTGCAAAATATAATTTAAATAAGAAAAATTCAAAATAGATTGAATAAAGTTGATGCAACAACTAATATAATTAAGTGGAAGTATAAGTCACCTATTTGTTGAACATCAACAACACTTCTAGCTGATATATCACCAAAAAAATATAATTTAGATATGGCAAAAAATTAAACACTCATTATTTTATTTTGCATATGTGACACAACAGATGCACACATGTGAAAATAAAACAAGCCAAGTAATATAATCAATTAGTATAAAGACTAAATGCGATACAACAAAAGAAAAAACTAACAGGCTACACCTGCATCTGAACTACCCTCTACTACTGTTTTTTGTCCTCTGAATATACAATTGTTGTCGACGCACACTACGCAATTCTCGCGCCTCAGCATATAATTCTCTACGTCGTGCATTAGAAGATTCTTTTGATCTTGCATAAATTGCTCGACGACGCTTCTTTTCCAGCTCCCAGCTTCCAACATCAGCATCCATAATATAAATAGCTAAATAGAACAAAAACAAAATAAAATGTTAATCACCCAAATTTTTTAATACAGAAAGCATAGAAAGATTGGAGCTAAAAAATTTATTAAAATTTCTCAGTGCTGTGAAGGAGATATCTCCCTGCGCGGACAGGGAGACATCCTTGTGCGCGCACGGAACACCATGTCTCTGTGTGCGCACAGAGACGTGGTGGCCTACCTACCTGCACACATGTCTCTGAATTGGGAAACAAAGTTTAGTTGGAAATGTTAAAAATACAATAAACGTGCAGAAAATAGCACTTTATGTAGCTAGCAACCAATTATAAGGAAATTGACTTACAAGTAGTTTAGAATGTGAGTGAAAAAAATATTGTTATTAGTAGCAATATAAAAAAAATGACTTTTAAAAAAAAAACATTGTTGATTGCCTTAAAGAACATTGTTATTGGTTAAAAAAAAAAAAATTGTGCCTCTGTGCGCACACAGAGGTGTCTCCGTGTGCGCACGGAGGATTTTTTTTTTTTTCAATGCTACAAATTACATTTTTTTCAACTATACAAATTTGAATTATTTTATGTTGTTGGAAAGCTACCATAAGAGTGAAACCAAATAAATCCCAAATTCACCCAACAAAATCATCAAATCCCCATACTCAAGTCTCTAATCTAAAGCATCCATCTCAATTTTAAGACTCAACCCACGCAGTCAAACATAAAGTTCATTATATATATATTCACATCTAATAAAACCCATTAAATTCCAACCCCCAAATCAAGAAAATTCTCTCGGCCCAGCTGAAAAGGTTCGTGAAATCAGAAATGCTTGTCAAAGTGAAGAACTCCTACAAGATCTCTAAAAAGGTGAAAAAGCCTGCAAATTCAGTCGAAAACAAAACTCAGAAGAAGGAACCAGTCAAGAATGTGAGAACAAAAACTACTGGTTCTAGCAAAGAGGAGGCGAAAAAGGATAACTAAAATGCGAAGAAAACGAAGAGGCTGAGCCGGTTAAAACTCCAGATGATTCGAAGAAGAATTAGTATAAATGAGTGGCTATATAATGACACAAACAAATGGGGAAAATATAGGGCCTGTCTGGGCACCATTAAAATCATAATTCTTGCCATTACCACAGTGAATTGCCCACAGTTTTTGACTTTGTTGAGTCATAGCACGCCCCACCATTTGAAAATTAACGGTCAAAAAATCTCATTTCTGCTTCATTTCAATGCTCCCAGACATGCACATAATACAAACCTGGGGTGTATTCCAACTGCACGAGTTTGCCAAATTCTTTTAGGAGCAAAAAATTTATTGTTTGACAGCATTATCCTTGCAAATGGAAAAGAAGGAGAAGTTTGCCGTGGGAAAATGGAGGAGGTGTGGGTGGTTGCGTGAGATAATAGAGAAACATGAACTAAGGTGTGGAAAATTTTGACGAATTTCAGGGAATTAAAAAAAAGAAGGGGGAGGGGGGAAAATTTTTTACGACGATTGGAAATGACGACATGTGTAGTGATTTACCTTTGCTCTTTTAATATGCGGTGAAAAATAAAAATAAAATATCCACTGATTTTTTTTTATTTTTATTTTTTCCCCGGGAAATTTGAGTGGATAACTGAAAGCCTCGTCTCTCTCTCTCTCTCACACACACACAAAAAAAATTGCAGTTTGAGCTGATGTTACATACCAAAACGCTGTCGTTTACTCCATGTTTACGTTGAGCTTCAGTTGAATAGCAAGACATGGCTTTGAGTTCAGACTCTTCTTCTCCTTCACCATTGGAGTGGAAGTTCTCTCAAATCTTCGGTGAGAAACTCCCCGGTGAAGATGTACAAGATAGTAATTCACTCAACTCTGCTCTATGTTTTTGTATACTTAACTAACTTACATTTTTTATTGATTTTTGAAATTGTGAGTTTTTTTTGTTTTGTTCTTGTAGTTGATATCATATCTGCTGTTGAATTTGATAACAAGGGGAATTTCCTAGCCGTAGGAGATCGAGGTGGCCGCGTTGTGATTTTTGAGAACAAGTCTGGTAACCATGTGCGAATCACATTTTTTTTTACCTGAATTACTTACATTTTTAGCCAGCATCAATGTTCAAGTGCATTTGGAGCATGTTTGATAAAATAAGTAACTTAAAATTAATTTTGACTTGCTCACATGATTAAAGAAAAAAAGAAAGAAAACTTCCATGAAATGTGATTAAATAGTATAATTGCAGATTGGTGAATGATGATAATGTGGCATTACAACAAGTGTACTTTTGTGAAATTATTTTTTACATTGGGAGTGAGATGGAAAGTTCACTCCTTGTTTGGTAGAATAATTAACTTAATAGTAATTTTGACTTGCATGTTCTTAATATGACACCTCGTGTTGTTAAAGAAAAAAGAAAGAAATCTGCAGTGAGTTGTGAATTGAGTATTATTGTGCAGATTAGTAAATGATGATTATGTGGCATTACAACAAGCGTGCTTCTGCAAAAGTATTTTTACATTGAGAGTGGCATGTAAATTTCAATCCTTCTGTATTATAGGATTTACTTGAGCACACTTCTCGGAGTGAGTTAGAGAGACTGGATCTTGTTCCACAGCATCCTAAATTCCAATATAAAACTGAATTCCAAAGTCATGAGCCAGAGGTATGGTTTAACTGTTGATTTGTTTAATTTTTTAGTTGTTTGAATAAGCTGATATATTTTTTGGAAAATCACGCGCGTTGCAGAACCTCATGATGCACTATTTTGACAGTTTGATTATTTGAAGAGCACTGAAATTGAAGAGACGATCAACGAAGTGCAGTGGTGTGCAACACCAAATGGATCATTATTTATTCTTTCAGCAAATAATAAAACTATTAAATTATGGAGGGTAAAATACTATTTTAATTCACAAATTCGTCCATTTTGATGAATATTCCTCTTATGACTCCACAAGGTGAAATCACCTGATTGTTCTTCCCGTCTTTATGTAACATGATTTGACAGGTAGGATAAGTAACTTGCGTTCTTATTTTCTCCACTTAGTTTACTTAGTTTACGTGGCATATACCACCAATTATACTATTTCATGTTCATAAATTATGAAGTTACTGAAATTTAAGTTCCAAACATGTGTTGTTGTGCATATATGAATCTGGAAATGTAGTGGCATATTGTTAATCTAGTTCAAAGTAATGGTAAAGAAGAGTGATCAATGGCTGAAGTGCTCACTGATATTGATGAAGAACACTGAACTTAGTGGGGTCTTTCTGCTGAAATATGATCATGGCATCAGAGGTTTTTCCTTAGAATTCCTTAAAAACAGACATAAATGAATTGATTTGGGTTTTAAAATGATTGGTCTAACATTGGCGTAATCCTTTCAATACTGGATTATATGAAATCTGTTTCCTCTCCTTCATTCATGTATTAGCAATTTACAGTCCGACTCTTACGAATATCACGAATGCGGAAAGAAAGTAATCTTAGTTATATATTTAATAATTCTAGGATGGCTGGAGAATTGTACTGTCAGATGTGAAAATAAAAAGTAGCGCAGAAGATTTCTTCAGATTAATCTAGCGATAGCATATATAGGTTGACTTGTTACTGCTATATCCTTTAGCCACGTGCAAATCTAATTTAGTATCAATCCGTATTTTGTAGTCTTTTGTTATGCTTACCTCTGCCTGCTACCAGGTCAAGGATCATAGAGTGAAGAAAGTTAAAGAAATGGATGTTACTCCATTTGTATCTTCAGAGAATTCACTTATGGCAGAAAGTAGTTTTATTAATGGGAAACATAAACCAAATTTTGCCAATGGTCACTCTTTAGAATGGACAGAGAATGTAGCCAACAACATGTTCACATCCCATTCAGGGCATGACAAGGTAATGGACTCCAGAGTAAAATTTGTAAAATCTTCTGGTTCTGTGGAGCATGAATTTATTTTTAATGGATGGGTTTAATCATGATGTTTAGTTTATAATGCCCGTTTTATGTGTATCTAGGTAACAAGTTTTGCAGATGCAAATCCTGCAAGATGTAGAAAAGTGTATGCCCATGCTCATGATTTCAATATTAACTCTATCTCTATGAATAGGTAAGATCTGTAGCTTTTTCTTCGCTTACTTATTGATTCTATCTCCTTGTTAAAATTGATGCAATGGTGCTTCTTTAAATTACTTTGCGGTGCTTTTAACATTTTGTACTGAAAGATTTAATCGGAGCCTATTCTCTCCAGAACTTTCTCAAATTGATAATACTATAGACTACGTTATAAAAATGTTTTTAAAGTTGAAGCAGCAAGAATTTGACTGTATAAAAGGATTGAACAGCGAATATTTATGATATGATGGTTCTGCAGTGACGGTGAGACATTTCTTTCTGGAGACGACCTAAGAATTAATTTGTGGAATCTAGAGGTCAGCAATCAGTGTTTCAATATCATTGATACAAAGCCTGAAAATATGGAAGATCTTATAGGTGATTTTCGACATACAATTGTAGCTGCAAGTTCCATTGCTCATTCACATTTTTCTTGTGATGTTTCTTCTCTTTCATCCCTCTCTAGTCTCCTTTTCCAATCTGAAAATGTTCTGCAGAGGAGTATCACTATTTTAAAACAGTTTAAAAGAGCCTTCTTAAACAAATAAATATCTGGCACACAAACATTGAGATGTCCACACACACACAGAGCACAGTAATGCATATCCAAACAGTGGAGAAACCACCCAAAAACTTATATTAATAGATAGTATAGCTTTCTCACGTCTTTTATAAAATACGAAAGAAATGATGGGATCTTCTTGAAATTCTATCTAGAGGTAATTACATCAGCAGAATTCCATCCCTTTCACTGTAATCTGCTCGCTTACAGCAGTTCAAGAGGATTTATTCGGCTTGTAGACATGAGACAATCGGCACTCTGTGATCACAATGCAATGATGTGAGCTTTTTCTCTATCATCTGTATATCTTTTGCCATCGTGACTTTGAAGCTTTTCATTGAGCCATAACATGTAATGGTCATTTTGTAGATTGAAAGATGAGGAATCCCATGGGCCAAAATCGTTCTTCACCGAGATCATTGCATCAATATCGGATTTGAATTTTGCAAACGATGGAAGACATATATTAAGTCGTGATTATATGAATCTAAAGGTTTTTGACCCAAATCATTTTAAAGAATTACTTTTCCTTGCATGGGGTTGAAATTGCATATTTTGCTTCTCGTATCTCATTCTCTGTCTTCTTGCTTGAACATAACTAGGTGATTCAAAAACCACATTAGTTCTGAAAATGTTGGTATTTTATTTAAATGCATGTTCTAACTTCCCTTGCCAAGGCATGTCATTAAAACGCCCAGCTGAGGTCAGGATCTTTATCCTTCCCAAAATGGTTCCTTTTGTAAATATCTTAAGTTTGTAAAATGAAGACCAGGAAGCCGATAAAGAGAAGAATTGAAAAGAACAATTGTATTAAAACTTCCTTGATGGAAATGTATACTGGCAAAGGGATATATATATACAGAATTGACATGCTATTTTAAAAGATTCATTCACATGCTACAAAAACAGAATTTACATCAGATTTCTAACTAATACAAAATTCCTAACTATCTCCTTCTAGAGGCTTCTTCATTCGGTTTGTTTGTTGGCCAGCTCAGTCGTTTTCTGTCTGTAGCTTCTTCCATTGCTGGCTGCTTGTTCCTTCTTGCTGCTGCTGGTTTCCTCTTGCTGGTTCTTTCGTTTCAGCAGCTTGGTTGTCTTAACAAAATAGAAATGTTCATTGTGTTATTTTTATTTCTTTGGGTGGAATACAACAACGAATCTACAATATCAATTTGGTTTTTCACCTCTCATAATTTTCCTTCCATCATTTACTGTTTGACTCAAATTGTACATATCTTCGAAGAAAATGTTGTACAGTATCCATATCTGTTTTTCACCTTAATATTTCTATTATTCTTCTTTTTCAGCTGTGGGATATGCACATGGATGCCCGTCCACTTGCAACATATAGGATTCATGAGCAACTTCAGCCTAAGGTGAGGGCGCTTTGTCTACAAAATGCACAGAAGTACTCCTACACACTTAGTGAGTCGACAATAATATAGCAAATCGTTGATAGTAATACTGCGTTTTCTTTGTTAGTACTCACTCGCAATATTTTTCTTTAATTCTTATTCCTTATTGACAGTGAAAATTGAACATGAACAAATTTTCTTTTCAACTCTGTTTATCTGATGCCTTACATTATGTTGCACAGTTGTGTGAATTGTACAATAACGATGCAATTTTCGATAAATTCGACTGCTGCCTCAGTGGAGATGGACTTCATTTCGCAACTGGATCATATAGGTTCGTCTTTCTACTGGAAGTTCTGATTCATTTGTGCTGTTTACAAGCATTCTTATGTTTTTACTCTACAATAATTATGTTTACCTCTTGTTTATCAGCAATCATCTGCGCATATTTTCTAATGGAATTGGGAGCCAAGAAGGTGTAACAATGGAAGCCAGCAAAAATCCATACAGGTATCCGATATTTATTCGCTCGTTTTCAGACCCCACCTGTGCATAGACCCAGATGAGGAGGTTGGTCACTAGGTCAGTAGTACAACCGTTGACCCAATGGTTGATTGTCGTGGCTCTTTGATTGCAGGAAGCTTCAAGCCCAGACTTCTAGAAGAGCTCGACGATCATCTTTGAGCAACTTGACTCGAGGATTTTACCGACAAGGTCATCCCACATTTTCTTTTAATCTTTTATGGCCTTAGCTTTCGTTTTTGCTAATCTCCGCCTTACTTGAAATTTTCAGGACACGACGAAAGTACAAGAAATGATGAGTTTTCCTTCAATTCAAAGTTGTTGCATCTGGCTTGGCATCCAACAAAGAATTTGATTGCTTGTGCTGCCAATAACAGCTTGCTTATGTATTATGCATAACCTACTTGCGTTTTCAGTAGAAACATTGGATAGCACGAGATAATATTCCAAAAAGAAAAGAAAAAATTATTTACTGTATGGTTCAGTCTTATCTACAAATAAACATGCGCTAAATAACGTCGGGTCACTTTTTTTTTTTTTTTGTAATAAACTGCAAAGTTTCTTCACAAGTTTATCCCCCACAAAACCTTTAACATTGCATTTTTTCTACCCCTTCTTAATAAAGGCAAATAGAGCAACACTAAAAACATGAAGGCCAATAAATACATAAATTTTAATGAATTGAAGTCGTCTGCCTTTCACCGGACAATATTAAAACCAAAGGAAACAGGGGCAAAGTACGTATTTCCATAGACCAGAGGCACTCATAATCAGTAGCATGTCCTTGAAGGCTTGTGCAGAGGTTTCACTACACGGTTAAAGATGCGCTCTTTGATTTCCAATGTTTTCAGGAAGCGGCATCATACTGTAAAAGTCGAAAATGCACTCCACTTTCAGAGATAGAAAACCTTTCTGGGACAATCAGATCAACCACTTTTTGCCTGCGCGTGCATGTCAAACTGAACATGGCAAGAAACATGACTTTGCACTATCTTTGCCGCCCTTCTACATTGCATTCCTGAACATCAAGTGTGTTTTGTATGCAGTACTCAAGAGTATGATGAACAAGATTTTTTTCTTTATTAGAGGTCTCTAGTGCTATTGAATCTTCCCTACCAAACATGCTACAAGGCAAAGCAAAGGGCGAGAGGCAGAGGAGGAGACAAGAAAATGTTGAATTACAGGGTAAGCCATTGCATTTCTTAGCAAAAGAATCATGAAATCCCCATGAGCAGATTAATGCATTCAAAAAACCTCAACTCTTCCATAATTTAGCAAACCAGCAAAAGCATCATGCAAAACTCTTATCTCAGTTTCTTTCAAAAGATTCCTTGCATCTCCTCAACATGAACCCCCTCAAACACAGTCCAGTTTATAACTTAGCTCATCAATTTCACCATCACTGTCATCTCTAACAGTAAGATTTGGTAAAGATTCAGTTATATCCGATTCACCTCCCGAGTTGCATGAAGATCCACTTAAGCTCGATTTCACGTTTATCACTTTACATGAAGCAGGATCCTTCCGTGGTGAGTAAGGTATAGATTGCAGGAAGTTAAAGTAAGCATACTTAATATCAAACCGCATATCATACCCTGTCATGTAAAATTAGTACTTTCAGATCATATATCGTAGAAATCAAAACATTTAAACTAGAAAGAGCTCGAGTCATTATTACAATAGTTTATCGCAATAGTGAGTCCTGAGTTGTCGTGACTCTGTCTAACATGATGAAACCACATGCTCGGCCTGCATAAAATTCAGCCAGCATATAGTCAGCAATTATTACCAACATATCACTTGCACAAGATTTTGTCTGCGTAACCAAGTACACCGTTGTCGAATTTAAAATCAAAGGAAAAATGAATAATGAGAAGAAGAAGAATTTCTGGAGAGAACTAAAGAAAACATTACTTGCCCCTGTATGAGCCCCATATTTATCAAAACTCTCTTGCAAAACTCATTTTCAACCACACATTCTTTAATAAAATAATTTTACACGTAAACCCAAATCTTTTTCTACTTTTTAACCCCACATTCTCCAAAAATCACTATTACAAAACCTATTTTTCTCAAAAAAATGGAGCTCAAACAGGGGCTTAGTCGTACTATGGTTTATGAAGGCAAAATTTGCAGCAGTCAGAGTACCATGCGCAAGGGAGTTTGTGGTATTTAGTTTTATGGTTAAGAGAAAATTCTAATCCAGAAAAACTTCAGTAGAAAAGAGATAATTTCTACACATATCTGCAGCCACGAAATCTTGGAAAACTAATCTTCATGCCTCACGGAGAAAGGGCAAGATACTACATCTCACATCTCAAAAGATTTTTCCACTCAAATAATCCTACAGAACAAGATCTTCATTCACATAGATGAGTCAGCTAATAATCACTTCGTTGTCTTTGATCATATTCAACATAATTTGATTTTTCCCTTTATGATTCAATATTGTGGGTTCCATTACTTTCTTTTCTTATCACTTTCTCATATGGTCTTTTGGGGGCTGGGAGAATAATTTAAAGGAAGTTTTTGGTATACGTGTAGGAGAATGCTAATATATTGCTAAGCGTGCATTAAGACTTTTGTGGAAAACCTATATTTCTTGATGCAAGAAAAAGAAGTCCAGAAAACAGCCAGTTTAAAGGAAAACTTTTCAGAATAATGCACGCTCCTTTGATGATATCTTATTAGTCCAAACAAATTTTAGTCACATCACTCCATATTAGGGTCTTCATGATCAAACATCAATTTGTTTTATTTTAGTGCTTTTAACCCCCAAGTACTTTCCTAAATTCAAATTCCTATTATCAGTCTTTGGTTGCGGTCGAGCTACGTTTTAGTAATTCCAAATAGCCAATAGGCTAGAATTGGGTTGATAGTAAATTTACTTTGATTATTACTAATAAACCTGGTAGCATTAGAATAACAAAGATCAAGGTCTAAAACTCATAATTCTTATACTCAAACCATTACATATCTTGTTACTGAGTCCATATAGAGCTGTTGAAGATTTAATTGCAATTATTTTATACAATGAAACCCTTCTTTCATTTTCAAATTATCACTAACAACTGTTCCAAAATCTAGATAATCTGTTCATCCATATTTAGAACATCGTTTAAACGAAATAAAGATATGAATAACAAAGACAGATGATCAAAGTGGACTATCAAACAAATTAAAAGCATGAGCCACCTTGAAAAACTGAATCCAAAACCAAGTTAATTCTGTTAAATTAATCTTAATAGAGAATCAACTCGATAATTAGAGAAGTAGTCGAGGGAGGGTGAAGAAAAGCTTACAAATAAAGCATTTCCCCTGCCTTGACCGTAACTTCAAATGGCTTCGGTCCATTGAAGTACAAAGGAAACTTATCTACTTCTCCCCGTTTCTCCTCATGTGAAGGGTATGGATCCACACTAGACCATGGCACAGCCCTAATCGGATCCTCTAGCTCCAGTGTAAATTCTCCAGTATCCTTTAAAGAAAACAACAGAGACAGTGTCAAGACCCTATCCAGATCACTAATCGAAAGTATATCCTATCCAAGTTAGAGATATCCTTCTCTTCCACTGATAAACTGCAGATATATAAATATGAAGATTCCATTTCACCTCTCAAAGTCCATATTTCCAATATCCAATAAAGACTTTCTTCGACAAGATTATCAATAAACTAAGAACTATAGAGGTGAATGTAACGAGTACTCATTATTATTAGCAGTTAGATCATATTCTATACAAGTAGCACAAACAGAGAGACACATTACTAGCAAGTAGCAATTAGACATTTGAGCAGGCGACAAGAAGAAAAAAAGATTAAAAATTGGAACCTTATGATAGTGATATCGAGCAGCCGGATACTCACGGATGTACATTCTGTGAAAATCAGTAGGAGGAAGCAGTAGGAAATGCTTCTCCCCAGTTACAACAGCATAAAGATTCTCATAATGATCCTTGTGAAACGAAGTCTCCGAAAAATGGTTCCCAATCCACAAATTCACAGCCTCAGGCCGGCACCCCAGTGCCTCACTCGCCCAAGGAACATCCTCTTCACAATCCCTCGCCAAAGCCCCATACTCAGCACGAAAACAGTCATTCTGTTCCTGCAAATACGACACCCGATTAAAATCAGACTCCAGAACCCGATCCAATGCCTGTTCAAAAGGGAGGGTTTGGACATGGGCAGATGCAAAGCAGAGAGAGGAAGGAGAAGTGGGGTGTGGGGTTAGGGAATCAGCGCGACCGGTTGGGGTGAGGTGGAGAGATACGGGTGTTGAGGAGAGGGTGTCCCTGAGGTAGGAGGTGGAGGACCATAAGGAGAGGGCAGGCCAGTGGTGGGTGGCTGCGGAAATGAGGCAAGGCTTGTTTGGGGTGACGTAGTCACGGAGGAATTGGAGGGGAGTGGGTGGGGTGGGTAGGTGGTCGACTTTGGGCGTGATGCCTAAGCTTAGGTCTCTCAATTCTTGCCATAGATTCTCTATTTTATCTTGAACCGCCATTGTTGAAACCTTTTGTCTGTGTCTGTCTGTGTGCTACTCCCTCCTTGAAAGTAGAAACTTTCTTCGGGCTTAACACTAAAAATTCAATTAAAATTAAAAATATAGCCGTTATTAGATCTCACCCATCTAATAAAAGTCAACAATAACGACTAATTTTTCAATTTTAATCCGATTTTAATCTCTACCAAACACACTCTTCGTTTTGGTGGTTAGAATAAAATTGTTAATTGCTATGATTAAAAATAAAAATGAAAAAGTTTCAAATTTAAATGTAAATTATTTTATTGAAAAAAATTTAGTTACGTTACCAAACCTTTCAAAAATTCGCACTTGGAGTTCAAATAAATGGGAACCGTTGGTTTGATCAGAGAATTGATTTTGACCATAATTTTGACTAATTTTATAAGGAAAAAATGGTAATTTCACATTTTTAACATAAAAACACAATATAATATATTAATTATTAAAAAAAAATAGAATCAAAATAAATACCACCACCACCATCCCCCTTTTCCCCGAATCCCTTTACCTCAAAACTATCACCCACTTAACGTCTAAGCCACCGCCACACCAGCCGCCATCGATCGTACCAATGGAGACCTCATATTTTCTCTTAATCTCATAATCGATCAAATGTCAAATCTAGAATTTTTCAATTCATATCTCAACCACATAATCGATCATATCCTAGATCTTCGATTTTTCAATGGAGACCCAAATCATCAATAGTAATGTCTATCCACATTGAACAACTAGCAAAATAGTGCTGAATTGTATTGTATTTATGACTTGCAAGACAAATGAAGCAAGTGTATGAATTAGTTGATTTATATTAATATCTTTCTAGGACTTCTTCTGTTGATTTCTGGTGAATTAGTTACGAATTCTTGTTGTAGTGGTTCAATAGGTGGTGGTGTTATTGAGTTCAATTGGAAGTGGTGGTTCAGCAGGTGGTGGTGGTGGTGGTTGTAGTTAGTGTTCAGTAGGTGGTGGTGTAAGTTGTGAATGGAATGACGTGATGAGTCGCTGTCGACGAGATAAAGAATTGGGATATGTGAGGGTGTGTGGTTCTGACGGTGGAGGGGCAATAAGTTGCAGGCGGCGAAGATGGAAAATATAGTATATAGTTCTAGTCTACAATGTTTTGGAATAGAAATCTGAGTGAGGCAACAAAAATAGTTAAGTTGTTATTGTGAATAGCGATATTCCGGTGGTGCCTCCTTAGAGGTGACTGTGGTGTTGACATCATGGAGGAGGCGGTGGTGATGGTGGAGGCATTGTCAGGTGGGTGGGTGGCGATGATTTTGGGGTAAGGGGTTGGAATGGGGTTGGGTGCTGATGGGGGAGATGGTGGAGTGGCGTTTTGTTTTTGTTTTTTTTTTTTCTTTTAATCAGTTAATATAATTTTTTTTACCAAAAAATATAAATTTACCATGTAAGTCAAACTCTATTAGGCAAAGGCCAAATAAGTCAAGAAAGTAGGGGTGTGAAGTAAGACGAGTGGGATCCACTTTTGCAACGGGACCTTTCAAGTTGGTGGGTGAGGTGGAGAGATACGGGTGTGGAGGAGAGGGTGTCCCTGAGGTAGGAGGTGGAGGACCATAAGGAGAGGGCAGGCCAGTGGTGGGTGGCTGCGGAAATGAGGCAAGGCTTGTTTGGGGTGACGTAGTCACGGAGGAATTGGAGGGGTGTGGGTGGGGTGGGTAGGTGGTCGACTTTGGGCGGGATGCCTAAGCTTAGGTCTCTCAATTCTTGCCATAGATTCTCTATTTTATCTTGAACCTCCATTGTTGAAACCTTTTGTCTGTGTCTGCTACTCCCTCCTTGAAAGTAGAAACTTTCTTCGTTTTGGTGGTTAGAAAATAAATTGCTATGATTCAAAAAAAAAAATGAAAAAGTTTCAAATTTAAATGTAAATTATTTTATTGAAGAAAATTTAGTTACGTTACCAAACCTTTCAAAAATTCGCACTTGGAGTTCAAATTGATGGAAACCGTTGGTTTGATTAGAGAATTGATTTTGACCATAATTTTGACTAATTTTATAAGGAAAAAATGGCAATTTCACATTTTTAACATAAAAACACAATATAATATATTAATTATTAAAAAAAAAAATATAGAATCAAAATAAATACCACCACCACCATCCCCCTTTTCCCCGAATCACTTTACCTCAAAATTGTCACCCACTTAACGTCTAAGTCATCGCCACAGCAGCCGCCATCGATCGTACCAATGGAGACCTCATATTTTCTCTTAATCTCATAATCGATCAAATGTCAAATCTAGAATTTTTCAATTCATATCTCAACCACATAATCGATCATATCCTAGATCTTCATTTTTCAATGGAGACCCAAATCATCAATAGTAGTCTATCCACATTGAACAACTAGCAAAATAGTGCTGAATTGTATTGTGTTTATGACTCGCAAGACAAATGAAGCAGGTGTATGAATTAGTTGATTTATGTTAATATCTTTCTAGGACTTCTTCTGTTGATTTCTGGTGAATTAGTTACGGATTCTTGTTGTAGTGGTTCAATAGGTGGTGGTGTTATTGAGTTCAATTGGAAGTGGTGGTTCAGCAGGTGGTGGTGGTTAGTGTTCAGTAGGTGGTAGTGTAAGTTGTGAATGGAATGATGTGTTGAGTTGCTGTCGACGAGATGAAGAATTGGGATATGTGAGGGTGTGTGGTTCCGACGGTGGAGGGGTAATAAGTTGCAAGCGGTGAAGATGGAAAATATAGTATATAGTTATAGTCTACGATGTTTTGGGATAGAAATTTGAGTGAGGCAACAAAAATAGTTTAGTTGTTAGTGTGAATAGCGATATTCCGGTGGTGCCTCCTTAGAGGCGACTGTGGTGTTGACGTCATGGAGGAGGCGGTGGTGATGGTGGAGGCATTGTCAGGTGGGTGGCGATGATTTTGGGGTAAATTGTTGGAATGGGGTTGGGTGCTTATGGGGGAGATGGTGGAGTGGGGTTTTGTTTTTTTTTTCTTTTAATCAGTTAATATAATTTTTTTTACTAAAAAATATAAATTTACCATGTCATCTTTTTAAAAATTGGCCAAATAAGTCAAACTCTTATTCTCGATTCAACTAACGGTCAAATCAACGATTTCCATCCATTTGGACTTCAAATGCAGATTTTAGAAAGATTTGGTATCCACAATGGTACAAATGAAAAGTTTGGGCAAAGTTTACAACTAAATGAAATGTTTGGTACCATGGATGCGATTTTCTCTTATTTTGTTGATAGAATGTTTGGTTGAAAATAAGTATGAAAAAAATTAGTTCGACCCCTCAATTGAGGTTCAAGAAAGTAGGGGTGTGAAGTAAGACGAGTGGGATCCAGTTTTGCAACGGGACCTTTCAAGTTGGGGTGGGACCAATTAAACAATTAATTATTATTTTTTACCTTTGAGTACTATTTGCTCGTTCAAAAAAAAAAAAAAAAAATATTAGTTGCTTAGCGTTACCCTCCATCATCCATCTCAATCCCATTCGTTCACATGGCGGATAAAAATCCAACGTGACAACAAACGTTGTTAAAACTTGAAAATTAATTAAATGAGGAATCACTAACATTTACTTTTGATTACTGCTTGTTCACTTTAAAAAAAATGTTACTAATTGCTCATTCACTTTTACGTAATGTTATCTATCAATCATCAATCCCAATTTCATTCTTATACTGTTCGATTTGTTTATATAATTTTCCTGATTTTTGGAATAATTTTTGCAAACTACTTTTGCTCGCTCTACTTTCCTCATTTTTTCTTCTACAAAATTTATTTTGGATTTTATTGTCCAATCTGTTTATATGATTGTCATGATAGGACAAAGAACTCTTATATTTTGTAAAAGTCTATTTACACCATCATCTCTCCATGGTAAAAGTCTATTTTATATGCCTGAAGGTTAAATTCAACATCCTGTCACATTGAAGACCTGGATGTGACTAGCTTTTACAGTATATCCCCTTCTGCGCCTTCGATTCAGCAACCATACAAGGAATACAAGTGATCAGACTATTTGAAAGAATTTCCATGTTCTTACTAAAAAACTTCGGCTGATAAAACATCGTCTATCAGCGTATAGCAGCAGAAGATGAAGCTTCATTACCTATGGAAACTCTATTAGGCAAAGGCCTTGCGATAAGACCATCAAAAACCCAACCTGCAACTTCGCCATCTTTTTTGACATGATTGAGTTCCCGTAGAACATAGTCTAAAAATATTTGCAGACTTCCTCCTAGTCTGCAGTTAACACGAGCGCTGCTTGATTTAATTCCAGCATTTCTCTCCGACCAATACAGATAATTGACTTGAATAACGTCTTGAGCATGTCTTGTGGCGAGGAACATTCTTTTAGTACCACCGGATCTCAGCCAAAATTCAGAATAAGAGGAGCAGTAAAGCAATAGAAGTGAGTTCCTATCAAAGTTTCTTCAACTCAGGCACAAAAGAACATGGCAATCATTCTTGTTCCATTTTTAGTAAAATTGTGAAGAATCAAATTCTAATAGGAAATAATTGGCATTCTCTAACAATTTCAAACTGGTTTGCTGCATCATTCTCCAAAAAACCGATTTGAATATTTACCCCCAAAATGACTTTTACCTTATTACATCACTTGGGTAGTTGGGTTGGAAATAACTCAGTAAAGATGAGAATTAAGTTGACAGAAAAAAGTTAAAAAGCTTGCTGGCCCTTGACATCATTATCTGATGCTCTAGAAAACACGTCTTCAAGAGGATTTCATTGTTGGCTCATAATACTTCTAGTACATTTTATAAAAATCTGAAAAGAAAGAGAGAAACAATGATCTTAATTGAACAAAACTAGTGATAACATGTCAAGAATGTATCACATCTGCCTACTGAAATCATTTAAACAGATACACATGCCCATCATTTTTGATATGATCTTCCAATTTAAAGGAATTTAATACACCCCACATGTAGCAGTCACACACGTACTTTAAAGATATGG